TAAACTTAAGCATTTCCCACTGGAATTTGAATACAGATTACTAACAGATGCATGCATGACGTCATAGCTGCTTCTGAGAACATAATCTGAACAAGAGGGTTGTGGGACCAGGGAACCTCAACACCACTCAAGTAGTGATCCTATCTCCCTGTCGAGTCCTACTAGGACAAGCCTCATGACTAACCCATTGAAGTTAAAGTCTCTTGGAATTTAACTCTGAATAATGTTTCAATGAATCTAACTTTCTAACAATTAAAAATTAATTTAACTTTAACTTCAAAAAATGAGGAAAAGAGTTAGCTGTAGTGGCTTCTCGAGTTTTAACATTTAACAGCAACTCTGGAATGGTTATCAGGCGTGGGTTATTATTCAACTTATGCGATGCATGATCATGTTTTGCCGTAACTATTAAATAACATTTGAGATAATCGGATTCTATTTCAACATATTTTTATATATCAGTTTTAATATTATTATTATCATTATTATTAATAGTATTATTACTATTATTATCATATTATTATAACTAGTATTATAATTATTATTTTATTAATATAATTATCATTTTATGCATTACACAGTTCCAGTTGAAGTGCTAAATCCAAACAGAACAAACTAGTTTAACCTGACTATTTCGCACTCAGAGGTTCACACGAAAAGGCAGACAAGTTCTTGAAATAATATGAGCGTCACAGAAGAAGTTAGTGTCAACATTTACGTCAAGACTCGAGATAGAAGATCTGGTAAGTCACGTGGTAAGTCATCACTAACTGACAAGTTTTGGCTTGGCGTCTCTCCATAACGTGATTGGCGCGCACCGTAAGACTGTGACCTATGAATTAGATCACAATTCACGAGCAACAATTTCTTTACAGAGCCTATCAGATTAGACCGTTTCCTTCAATTTTACGAGTTACTCTTGTTCTGTATTGTGTAGCATTATAATATCAATGAATGCTGAATGATTTCTCCTTTACTTCGCCGCGTACTAATTTTAAATAGAGTTGGTAATTGGGGCCGGAGAGCCAAGCACGCTTCTCCGTGACTGTACAAAATATTGCTAAACCAAAGACGCGGACGCGGAAAATTGAGGTCGACAGAGACGCGGACAAATTTTGTCGACCTCAATTTTCAGTTTGCAATTGTCATTCCATTCCCCTCACCTCACTTTTCTCCTCATAATCAATGTTTGGTTTAGGATGAGGAAAGTCAAAATTTTAATCCAAGTTCTTATTTCAACAATGGTAATTTTCAAACAGGATATTCTCTTATCTTGAATCCAGTAAAGAATTTGAAGAAAAAACCTTTAGTAGAATTTCGTTTATTTCATGAATTAAAAATTCTCCTAAAATAGACGAACAAAAATAGTGAGATTTTATCATAACTGAGGTACCATATTTGGATGAACCTCATCTCTCTATTGTGCTACACGCGCTGCATCGTCCATAAGAGGTTAATGAATCGTAATGGTGAGTTATGCGCGCACAAACATTGCAGTATACATGTCAACGACACCCACGCTACGCGCAATAACTTGCAACACGGTCGCATATAATTGACTTATACGTTAATCAACTCATCGAGTTGCGAGTATGCATTTCCAGCAAAGTAGGTTATTCCATAAAAAGTTAAAAATATACACGAAACCCTGCAAAATACTGGCTATTGCAAAAAGTAATTTCTAAAGTATCATAAATTCACTTGTAATTTTTTTCGTTGTGTTAAACAAATTAAAGAACAGTTACATACCCGCGCGCGCGCCCAGTGTCTCAGGACAAAGTTACCGAAGACAAATACATTCTGAGGAAAATTATGTGTCTGCGAAGCCATGCCTTCATCCGGCGAAGGGAGTCGCAGGTCGTGTGGTCACAACGCCAAATTTGGAGGCGGCCGAGACGTTTATGTTTTAGCGAATGTTGTGTCCAATTGAAAGCGAGCTATAAATCAGCAAGCGCCATCGCGGCTTTGCAACGTGACAGACGACGATGTTTCGAGTTAGTAACCTGCCATTATAGGACCACCGCACGAGTGTTATTTGCTAACTTATTACATATGCCATTGTTAGGAGTATTAGTTCTACAAAGGCAACAGAGCTTTGCTTCCATAAGTCTCGCTATGCCGTGACCGCGGCGAGATCTCACCAGCCAGGCTTGTATCCAGCCAACGAAATAGACTCTGAACAAATCGGAGTTGATTTGTTCGTTCCATTAAATGGTGGTTTTAGCTCATCCTCTTGCTTCGTGTCACTTAAACCTCTGCGGTCTTTTGTGTTTAAGCTCGAGCACAATGTTGTCGTCAAAATTTTAAAATTATGATGCAAATAAAAAATTTCCTTCTAATAAATACAGTTCACCACTCAAATTTAGCTTTGTATGGGTGAACCCATGAAGTTTTGTTTGTACAACTTGTGTAAATTGTGAAAAAATAATTAATTTTCATACTCGTCTTTTTTTCCCTGAGAGTGTATGAGATTTCATTGCTGCGTAGATGTAATTTGAATGCCATTGATGAATGCATATAGCCAAAGAAGCTGAGCATGAAGAACTTTAGGAGATGAAAAGCCGGGAGACCCAGAGCAGTTGTGGGGCCGGAGACGCTGAGGAGTTGGATGAACTGAAGAGCTGCTGAGGACCCGGAGTTGTTGAAGAACCAGAGACGCTGAGCAGCTGGAAGCGCTCAAGAGCCGCAGCCGGATATACAAAAGAGCTAGAGATAGTGGAGAGCCGGATGAACTGCAGAGATGGACAGAATACAGAGACGGATAAGCTTAAGAGCCGGATGGACTGAGGAGTCAGAGATGGTAAAGAACTGTACAAGCTGAAGAAATTGATAGGGTAAAGAGCCAGAGAAGCATGTAGAGCCGGATAGAGTAAAGAGTCGGAGATGGTTAAGAGCTGTTCAAGCTGAAGAAACGGAAACTTTAAAGAGCTGGATGGACTGAAGAGCCGGATGGACTGAAGTGTCGGAGATGGTAAAGAGTTGCACAAGCTGAAGAGATGGGAAGGGCAAAGAGCCGGACTGGAGAGCCGGAGGTCAGCCCGGTGAAGGATCTCTTGGTGTCCCTGGCGCTGTGACGATGGCATTAGTCAGACGCTGCTAAATTACACGCACCCATTCACGTAATGAGCGTGGGAGTGGAGTCACTGCATTCAAATTTATAAGATAAATTGTCCCTATCTCTAATCAAATAGGAAATTCATATGAAGAAGCTTTAAAAAAATGCTTGGGAAGTTGGTTGTGTAAATGATATTTTTATATTATTCCATCCCTAACCTTTGTACCTTTGTATAAGGTTGTGTATTAATCACATTTAGTAACAGATCTTCTATCGTTAAAATTGAATAAATTTTCCCTTTAATATGACCCACTCTTAATGAACGACATTTCAATACAGGGAACCCTTGGCCCTATACCTCGTCAGAATCTTGATTTTGCACACCTACAAAATAAAGTAAAACCTGTGTTGGAGCTCAAATTGTCTGATTAAGTTGAAAGTATCGCCTTACGTGATGAAATTGGCGTCATACCGACATTTGGATTCACACCACCGCACTGGAGAGCAGTTTGATGGTCAGCTCTCCCTAAAACGGTTGTCATGTCAACCGTCTCACGCCGCAACGATTATACCTGAAGATTCACCCAGTAATAATTACCCAGAGTTCGTTTAGGGACACCAATTAAAAGCGGCCACCAATTTAAAGCCGCCCACCAGCTATACGAGAAATGAGCTAAGATTAGCAAGGCTTGAACCCATGACTAGCTCATTTCATCTCGGTACCGTCATCACTGCGCATACAGTGGCGTTAACCACTGCGCTACAGCTATAGTGAAGCTGTGTCACACCATATACATTGTAACCCGTTTCACTCATCAGGTCGTGAGCTTATCAGTTTATCATTTCTTATCTGTACGTAGAGTTATATTGTGGATTACTTCCACATAAGAATCGAGTACCATCGGCAACAACGGATAACTGCAAGCAAGTTTTCGAATCATTTCCTGCCTGAAGAGCACAGGCAATTTGGAGAATACAATGTGGCTAACAAAGGCCAGACATGCTTCGTCGGCCAAGAGATCTTTCCCATAGGATTTAAGATCGGCAAGGATACAACGCACATCGTTCAAGTATACTTTAGTGGAAGTGAAATTAGTATCAAACTTCGGGCTCAGACCGAGCAACTTCGCAAACAGTTCGTTCACCAAAGCAGATTTGTTCAAAAATTCATGTTCTAATAATTCTAAGGCAAGTCGGTAGTTTTCATCATTAACACTAAGGTGGGAAACAACTTTAAGGGCATAGCCTTTAAAATACGTTTTCAAATACGTAAATTTAATAGCAGGAGAAAGAGATTCTCTATTTCCAATAACATTTTGGAAATGGGTAAGGAACGAGAAATAATCTAAATTACTAGTACCTTCGCCAGAGAAGGTAGGACAGTACAGATTGGGTAGTTTTAATTCAGCTCTCTTCTCCTCAAATTTAGGTTTAACGCTGACATCTTCAAATTTAGCCAGTATAGTACAACAACTCGAATTTACTTTCAGCTCGTAGGAAGTCTGACTATCGACCTCTTCGTTAACTGCATCCTCAGAAGCCTTCTTACTAATTAAATCAGCCAAAACTCTCTCGTCCCACTCTCTTACCGCAGTCAGGTGAGATCGAGCCAAGTCACAGTGCGCGCGAGCCTCCACTAGAGTCTGCGCACCTTCAGCAGCCTGCATCGCCAGCGTAATCTTACGCCGGCAAATGCCCCTCTTAAAAGTAGGGGACTCAGACGCCATTGGTTAAGCTAAGAGAGGCAATGTTAATACACAAAGTTATATTGGTAAGTTACATCCACGTTAACAGACCGCCGAGAAGCCTAGTTTGAAATTGGCAACAATCTATTTAAACTTAATTGATTAAGTATTATGTAGGGTTTTTTCCCTACGCTGGAGGTAATCCTCTTCTAGAAATGATTTCAAAAGTTAAGCGCTAAGCAGTATAGAAATAAGTGATCATCAATTAAGGCATTTTAATAAGAATTTATTCAAAGCTTCTTATTCGGGGCAGTTTCTTCATATTCAAAGTAGTTTAAATCCATTTATAGAAAGCTGCGTCCAGGTTTAATTTAATTTGGCAGAAAGGCAGCAGATGTTGACGATTACTCGAGATACTGGTAAAACAAATGCATCATTACAATAGAGTCAATAAGCTAATAAATGGCAATAATTCAGATATTTCAGAAGTTAAGCAGATGCAGTTAAGTTTACGCTAATAAAAGCTTATGGCTCACCTTAATCAATTAAGATTAAGTGCACATACTGCGCAGTGCTTACAGACGTAGAAATCAATTGTAGTAATTAATAATTCAATTTAATTTAACGCGCGGCAGTTCCGAGCATAAATATAGGTCACCTTAGTATAGAGAATGACCACCTTGGCCAGTCAAGGTATTAATTTTAAGGTTTAAAGTTTAGAGGTTAATAGTTAAAGTTTAAAGTTTTAAGGTTTCAAGTCAAATATGCAATTTGACGAGCTGGCCAAAGTGTCATAAGAAGTGAAAAAACGCCTGCACCCCAAAACTGAAATTTAAACAAATCAAAGGTTGTGCACAACAAATTAACACCATTCATTTAGAGAATTTAGGAAACTAAGGTAACATTAAGCACGTAGTGGAACAGAACACGACCGCGCAGTTAGAGTTTTCAGAATTAAGCCTCTACGAGAGCAGCGACTCAGCCTTATATGGACTGAACCCGTTCTGCTTCTTCGCCGTAGTCTTTTCAGAAGTCCGGATCGGAAATTTCCCGAACAAAATATCATGTTCAAATCGAAAAAACTGTGAAGGAATATTAGGATGGTGTTGACGGAAGTTCATGTGACTCTCTTTCCATAGACCTTTCCATAGACAAGTTATCATTAAATTGAGGGTCACGTTCGTTCTCTAATCTCCAGCGTCACCTCTGAGTCATAGTAACTGCATGCGTGTAACTCATTTTTTGATCGTGAAACGCGACTGAAAATAAGACTATTTACTTCTATTCGTGATAAGATTTGAAAACTTACCCCCGTCTGATTCACCTGATGTTTTGACTAGCAAACATTATTTGCTATTATATAATTAATACTTCTCTCTAAAGATATTGCTTCTCTTCGGTGTGCATTTAAACCCTCATAAACTTGCTGCATCTTCCTTTCAGATGGTTGTTGTATGATGGGTACTACTACGCTGCAGAGAAAGAAGTTCCTGCTTTATTCATCAATGGCAACGGGTGCCACAACTATACGTATTCCTATTACTATGTAAGCAAACAGAAGGGTTTATAACTCGAATGCATTTAATAAATGAGAATGCAAAAAAAAACGCTTAATGTATGTATCACATTGGTTAGGCCTGGCAGAACTACACCGGGGAGGCCGTGTGCATGTATCCTTGGGTCGACAGCGGGGTTAATTACTTTACAGCTGCATCAGTAAGGAATAAAAAAAAGTTTACGTGTCCTTTTTGTCTGTCCCAATGAGAGTTTTTCTCCTGTTGCTAGCGAGCGTATCGTGATGGTCATTACAGCAATAAAATATTAATTGTGGGTGTAAAAACATTGGCATAATGATGATAATACAGCAAGTATCGCTGTAACAATATCCAAATGCATTTATTTGATATTGTTTCATTTATGTTGTTTATTTGCATTCAAAACGCTTAATGAACCATGACCGAGTGCTCTGTATAAAATTTCAAATAATCAAATTTTTTGATTTATTACATTGTATAAATAAAAATTTATGCATTGTTGTATAAATGTGACATGGACAGCCTCATGTTCCGAAATTGGAGGCTTTTTCTTTTATGTACGCTAACTTAAGAATGCTGCTTAACTCACTGAACGCAAGTTTACCTGGCCTCGCAAAGCACAGCAGGTCTTCCATGTTGCCGTGACAGGATATATGGGCGAGCAGAGAAACATAACTAGCGAACATCAACGAAGTGCTCGTAACTTTCTAGCGCAGCCAAAGCTGTTGATTTTTTGTATTTCTTAGCTCTAATCATATTCATTGCACACATGTCAATGTTCACCCCTGCATTTTTTACTTTCCCAAGATGTCATACTACTTGGGCTTAGCGGACAACTCGATCAGGTCGGTGGCCATGGGCTGCCTTTCCGACAACATCCATGGTGGGCATCCACTGACTGCATGAAGTCGAAGACGTCCTGCCTTCATAACTAAATGAATATATATACTATGTTGCCTTGATAACTAAATGAATATATATACTATATTGCCTTCATAACTAAATGAATATATGTTTCCAAACATCACAGACGTTTCTCTTCCATATTTTGGAATCGCAATCACGTAACAAAAAAATGTTGCCTACATAATGCACTTGTCAATAACTTGATAATTATATCAAATTACTGATATTGATATCAGTTTATACTGCGAATCAAACGTTTTCATAATTTAAAAAAGTAACAAAAAAGTAAGAATTGGTCTTATTAAGTTTTAGATTAGTATGATTTTATTGTGACATAAATAAATTTTTACAGTGAAATATAAATTCTTTAATCTATTTTGTAATTAGTGTTTGCTGAGCTGAAAGATTTATCTAAATACCAACAATTCTGAGGAAACTTGTTAAAATAGTGACCATGCAGTGACCAAAGACTTGATGAGATGCCTAAGATATTGGGCTAAGATATTGAACATTTCTATAAAACCGTTAGAGGAAACATGCTATGCACACTTGCACAGGCCTGTCACTGACAGCCTAATGGACAGTTTTCAAACTTCATTTTTTAAAACACCTGATAAATTAAAGAATCAATGGTAATAAATCCAATTATGATTGAATTATTCAAAGGCCATGACTGGGAACCCAAAAAGTTTAACTTTATGTGTATTTAAGGTGTATTCAGCAGGATGGAATTCTATTTCATCTATTAAGGTTCATCTATCCAAGATCAATCCAGCTCCAGGCTAACAACTTGCTCAGTTCCACAATTATACAATACGAGGCAATTTCAACATAAACAATATTATTTCATGCATTTTTTACATAGAATATTGGTATTACTTTAGATTAAGTGCATCAAAAAAGGGGTTTTTTATTTTTTAATTATATGTTTTTTGGGGTGTAGATTAAGAATCTGAAATATATAATTAAATTAAATTAAAATATAATTTAAAAAACACCCTTTTTTTGGATGCACTTTATCTAAGGTATTACCAGAATATATGTACCTGTTAAATTATCATCCATACATAATTTAGTGAGTGACTCACTCACTCACTGAGTCCAATCTGGGCCCTTCAGTATATAGGCAATTTTTCCACATCTGACTCTAAAATATCTTGATATAATAATTAGTCAGTCGTCAATCGTCAAGGATACAAGACTGTGTAACCGGGGGTTACCATGACCCTTTCGCTACAAGCAAATCTGTAACCATGTAAATTCATATTAAGATGATCCGGGGTTTAGGACCAGAGTTCCGCGGTGTCCTTCACCGAGCGGTCTACTTTTTACTGGTGGCTTGTGCTGAGAAGACCTAATGCTTGGGTGAATGTTTAGGTAGGGGTTTTTATTGGCAAATCATTCAGATTGAGAATAGTGTAGACTCTAATTGAAAATATGGTCATTTAATCTCCGAGTGTTAATTGTCCAACCCATTTTATTTCACGATTCAAAACTTGGTCACTGCTGTGAGCTGTCAGGTGGAAGTATCACTGTTGCACTTAGCACTTTATGGTAGGCCGAACAACTTCAATACTTTTTGCAGCATTTTAGTTTCACTTGATATCATAAATTGCTTTCCATATCTTAGATTCTAAACGAGTTTTTATTTATCGTTATTCAGCTTAATTCCTGTTGATTATGAATGTTCTTTGTGAGGGGGCATAGCTAAAATTGGATTTTACAACCTAAAATTTCTCATCATTGTTTAACTTTATCAGCACTGAATTGAACTAAAATGCGGCATGTTATGTATTATTGATGCTATTTTATGCTTTAATGTGTCCAAGCGTGTGTATTGATAAGGCATTTCTTCTGTGTGTGCAGTTACTGCTTGCCCCTCTCATGCTCCTTATATCACACTGTAATTCACACTTCAATTTACATCCCAAATTGAATATTTCAAATTTCTTACTCAACTAACTTTTGCTGTGTCAATAGACAACCCATAATCAAGTATACTTTGTATTTACCATCATTTTATTCTTCCATCAATTCAATTATTAAAATTATTGACAAAATTATTAAAACTCCACCCGCATCCACGCGCCGGCAACAACTGATTTACACTAATTATTATCTTTATTTCATTCAAATTTTCAAGCTTCCCAAAAGACCATCGAATTTATAATGGACGTTTACCACGCTGAAATTTTGCCGTCGTGAAAATCTATTTCGATAGGAAATAAGAGCTATGGGAGGTAAACTAGCTACGAAAACGCGCTGCGCTCGAAAGTTTAGAGCTCACAAAAATATATTGGGCTACCAAAATATCAAATATAAATTAGACAATACAAACTCCAAAACACAAACAAATGAAATCTCACAATAGTTTTTTACTCACTCCACTGTAACATCTGAAGTTTGAAAAGTAGGTTGATCAGATTCACGTATCACGAGGATTAGTCGTTAAATTGCTCGCTAATGCATGAAATGTTGCCACAATAAACTGATTAAGTGCGCTACTGTGAGATAAATAATTTAAATTGATATTTGTGGACATTATTCGGTAATATAATTGTTACATAATGTAAATTAGAGAAAAATCCGAAATATTTAGATATTTAGCAAGTCAACTTGTTAGTGTAAACAATATTCAATAGTGTAAACCATGAATGATGGAGAAAGTGCCGATATACTTAGCCCTGTTAGTCCATAAACATTTGGTAACAATGTACTGTTGAACTTTTCAAACAATCGATATGGTGGGAGTTACATACGGTCGGTGAAAGCACTTTAAACTCTTCTTGCTAATTTTTTCAAAAATAACATCCTTAAATGATATGGCAACGTATTAAAATGATTTTTAAATTCTATCGCATCTTTTCTATTATTTTTCTAAGTAATAAATTCTCATTAATATTCATTGTGGTTAAAAAAATAAAGAAAGTTAAGATACGTAATTCACTCTTTTATTAATTGCCATAGAAATGTCTTTTTTTTAGCTATTTAATTACGCAAAACTTCCATAATGTCCTAGGAACAAATTATGAGAAATATAGTTTTTGAAATGTCTCTCAAGTTCCAGTAAACCCATTCTGAGCAAACTTTTCTAAAATTAATCATGCATTAAAAAGCGGTTCAATGTTAACTGTAATAAATCAGATCATTAGACACATCATGCATCGAACTCACCTTAATTTTCTCACATCTCTGGCCGTATTCCGTTTAACAAACTAATAACAGTACTATGAAATGCGTATGAATGCAGTAGCTCTATGTAAACATCGATAGATGATATAAGTAACAATTTATATTCAATAGGTGTGAATGTCAAAGCCTAAGTTTAGGTTTGGGCACCAACGTACACACACACGATCGAGTTCGATTGCAGAGTCGTTCATAGTACGAGCAACCGAAACATGGTCGTAAGTAGCAGGTGGACCCTCGTTTAAAATCAACCTAGAAGTGTCACGTTAATTATCGCCGATGGTTGCATTGCGGCCAATCCGTCTGCTCTCGGTCCACGAGCCGAGATTTGGGAAAAACGGCCAGTCTGCAGCTTTGCCCTCATAGTCGCTTTCCAGGCCGATGAAC